TCCCCTCCTGGGTGCTGAGCGTCACCTCCAGGTGCTGAGCGTCACCTCCCGTGTGCTGGGCGTCACCTCCGGGTGCTGAGCAAGTATGCAGCCCTCTCAGGCCGACGACCTGGGGATGTCGCTGGGTGCCCTTCTGCTCTAGCTTGGAGGGCTCCCAGTGCCCCTCCCCAGCTTAGAAGACAGTTCCGAGTTTGTGCTGATTGTGGGATTGTGCGGGATTATGGGGCCTGTCCCTGGGGATGAGGCCAGCAGGGTGTGAGGACTCTGTGGGAAACCCTTGTGTGGACACAGCTCTGGGGGGGCTCGGTGGCTCCCCCTGGTTCGGATCTGCCTGGGGTGCGGCCCCGACAGGTTCGTCCGCCTCCCAGAGCTTCAGCTGCCCCGCTGGGAAGACAAATGAAGCCTGGCTAGCAAGCCTGTGGTCTGAGGGGACACGGTAGGCTTGGCTGCATCAGTTGTGTGTGGTGTCCGTGACATTGGGGCGTGTTCTTGCTGCTTAAAGGACATGTCTTATCGCTTGTGAGATGGGCCAAGACAAAACAGGACTTTGAAATGAGTTGCCGCAAACAGGTGGAATCACACCTCGACAAGGTCTTCAGTCCGAGTGGGTGGGTTTGGGCCCAGGCTGGGTTTTTTCCAACCTGTACTTTTCCAAATGTGGAGGAATGGGAACCAGATGAGTTATCCAAGCACCACCCAGGGAAGCCAGGCAGATTTCTCACACCGCGATGCTCGGCCAGTGAGTGGAAGTTTCCGTGAGCGCCCTCTCTGGGGCGTGTCTGGCGGGAGGCAGGAAGGGGAGGCACCCACCAAGAGGGGTGTTTGTGTTTAAGAAAGATTGTTTCTATCAGGTTACACTGGGTGACATTTTTTCTAGGTCAGTGACATCTGTCTTTCTAACAAGGTCATAAAGGTTGTATTCATATCTGTTTAACTCAGAAAGCTTGGTTCTTGAGAACTCCATCTCACACTGCAGCATTTCTAAGCTAAACATAGTGAATGGAGGTTTTCACGATTCTTCCAAGCGCTCTTGCGCTTCACACACTTGCAGAACCGACTCCCAATCTCCTTGCCGTGGGAGGCGGTCAGCGGTCATTAGGAGAATGGCCGTGGACTCGGGGTGGCTTTGACACACTTCTCGCACTTCCCGAGCGACTGACCTTGGGCGGGTTTGCCTTGATAAGCCCCGTTTTCTTAGCGCTGGAAGAGGGGGGACAGTCTCCACCTGCCAGAGCCGTTGTGGGGGTTCAGGGAGGCTGTGCCCCACAGCCCGCACACACGGAGCATGCCGCATCAGCGCTGGGGCGGGAGGGAGAGTCCCGGTGCTGAACCAGGGACCTGCGTGATCCCCGGAAAGCCGCCCCCTTTTCTGAGGCTGTTTCCTCATTAAACACCACAAAAGCCACCATCTGTGGAACACCCAGGGGCAGGCTTATGTACGGAGGAACACGTATTAAATCACCATTCCCCAAGGCAGACTCCGTGGGGCGTGCGGTCCCTTCTCCACGTGCAGCAGAGAAGCTGGCTCCCAGGGAGGCCGATACGCACCCAAGGGACAAATGTGGCCCTTGGCACTTAGGTTCAGTGTCCGGGACCCCATCCCAGCTTTATTTGTGTGTTAGGGACCTTAGCAGCTAAGGCCTGAATGGGGCACAGAACTCGGGGTCACAGCAATCAGCGTGGTTTCAGGACCCTTCAGCCTGGAGTCGAAGGCCCCTCTCTGAGAGTCTTTTCAAACACAGGAACTGCCCTTTGGTTGTAACTTTGCCTGTCGGTAATGGTGTAGCACTTCCGGGAACCATGGTCCCCTTTCCTTACCCGGCTGGAAATTCAGAGGAGGTGGCCCCCATCTGTCCCCAGGGCTGCTTCCCCTCCCCACAGCAGCCTGGAGGAGGCACGAGGGCGGCAGAATGCACGTCCTGCTCATCAACGGGGTCAAGGTCATGCCGAAGTTCTGCATGTTTCCTCCCAGAACCTGGTGCTCTTTGCAGACCCACAGCCGGGCGCGGCACGTGGGAAAAGGACGGGCATGAACAGGAGGCTGGGGCGCACGGAGGTCACAGGTCCGTGGCTGTCTCCGTCTACCACTGGGTTCACGGACCTCGTGTGCACGGCATTTTCCCAGAGGATTCGCCTGCGCTGGGTCCTGCTGCCGCTCCCCGGTCGGGGGAGTCTCCGTGTCCTCCAGACCTGTGGTCAGGGGATCCACGGGTCAGACTGTTTGAACAACAAGACATCACGTGGGAGACCACCACACGGGAGTCAGGAGCTCCTCCCGGCTCGGAGCAGGCTGCATGGACAAGCAGGAACGTCCCCGCCTCTTGGAGGACTTGCGGGCACACTCCATCTGGGAGTGGAGTGGGGGGGCAGCACCAGTGCTAGGGGGCTCCCGCGGGTCACCAGGGACACCAGGCATTTGCCCCCAGCTGTGTGCTGGGAGTGAGGTGGTGAGGGACGACTCCGAGCGCCTGAGGGAGGCTGTGAAAAAGCGAAGCCACAGGACAGAGGAGAGACCAGCCCTGGGTTGTTGGTAAAGATAGCACTTTAAGGTCCCACCACCAGCGGTCCCAGCCTCGGGGGCGTCAGCTGGGGTGGAACTGGCAAAACGGAGCCAGGAGGAAGGGGGAGGGTGGGGCGCCGGGGACTCCCTCGCAGAGCGCTCGCTACATCATGGGGTACGCGATGACGAAGTAGTTGAGCTCCGCGTCGATGAGCTTTCTGTACTTCCTGTGGATCTCGCGCAGCGTCCTGTCCTCGTCGTTGGTCTCGTATCTGTTTGTGTAAATTCTCACCTGCGCCAGCACAGAGAGCGCACACGGTGGGGCTGCGCCTTGCGGCACCGTGCCCATCCCAGCCCGGGACACGCACGGCCAGCCCAAGCCCAGCCGCTGAGGAAGGGAGCTCCGGGTTCCCTCCCGTGAAGCGAACCCCCGGGGCACACACGAGGGCCTGACCCTGGCGGGAGCAGACACACCACCCACCGCCTGTGCTAGGCCCGGGAGCCGGGGCCCTACCTTGAGAGTGCGCAGGGAACACTGCCCTTCCTCCTGACTCTTCAGGATCCGCTCCACAAACTTGACGTCCAGGAAAGCCCAGATCTTGAAGTAGAACAGCTTTCTGCAGGACAAGACCAGAAGGTGCAGCTCCTCGTCCAGGGACTCGTGGTTGTTGTTGAACTCGAACGTCAGTTTCTGGAAAAGCACCAGAGGGGAGACGGGTGGGCGGAGATGCTGGGACCGGCTGGGTCATTCTGCTGCAGCCCCATGGCCCGGCTGACGGTGGTCCCCGGGCCGCAGGGAAGAGACAGGGACACGCGGGTGACTCCATCCAACTTGGCAAGATGCATCTGGGGTTCAGAGGCCGGGCACCTGGCCAGCCACCGCCCCTCGAGCCCCCTGCTGGTGGTATTTGTAGCAACAGATATCAATCCCCCAGCCTTCTGTGCGGCCCTTGGGGGGGACAAAACGATCCTGATTTTATAGATGGGGAAGCTGGCCCACCCCTCGGCGCTCCTCAGTGACTCCGTCTGTCTGGTTTGGACTCACTGTTTCCTGTGCTGCTGGGAGGTGGAGGGGCCTGCTGTCCCCCGTGGAGGCCCCTTCTTGCTCAGAGGGGGCACATAGGGGCTTTCCTTGGTTGGCAGCCAACCAGAGACTCCCTGTGTTCCACGCGGAGAAGTGAGCTGCCGTCACCCGCCGTGATCCTGGGGGGCCAGGGGACGCTGCTCTTTTAGCCTGGCAGCATTTCCCAGAACCTCGGGTGGACCCAGTGCGTGCCGGCCCTGCCGGGAGCCTCTCCCCTGGGGAAGCCGGTGACCTGAGCGGCGGCCACTCCCCACCAGCCTCCCAGCCCTCGGGCCCCACCCACCTGCAGAGTGTGCCGGAAGGTGGGCAGGAGATCCGTGAGCGTGGGCCTCATCGACCAGTCGGGGTCACTGAAGTAGCAGCTCCTCAGGCTGAGGCTCCGGACCGGGATCTCCTGCAAGAGGATCCGGACCAGGCGCTCATACTTCATGACCCGCTCAAAGAAGAAGTTCACCTTCAGGTTGGTGGCGTGCCTGGCCAGCTTGGCCCAGGACATGCCCCAGATGACCTGCCCGTGGGGGTCGTGGATGTGGCATTTGATGTTCATGGTCCAGAGGGTCCCAGCGTTGTTCTCACACAGGTTCTCGAGCAGCTCGTCCGAGATGCAGTTGTAGTTGAGCGTCAGGGACGCCAGGCTGTGGAACGTGGCCATGGTCCTGTTGAACTGGGCACTGCTGTACACGGCCAGGTGGTGGCTGAAGTAGTCCTCGATGTTGAGCTGCGACACCATGCTCTCGCTTCGCAAGTAGCTCAGGGAGTTGAGCACCACGCAGCCCTGCTCCACGGTCAGCCGGGCCCCCTTCAGGTTGAGGTGGTCCAGGTGCTTGCCCACTTTCTTTAAGAAGAAGCTCAAGCTTTTGATGAAGGAGCTCCGGATGCTGTTCCTCCAGACCAGGCGGTCCAGCTCCAGGTGCTGGACGGACAGAGATTTCAGACGGTTGTTGCTCTTGCCCAGACACGACAGGAGGCCTCGCATGGTGACCTGGAACTTCTTGGTCAGAACGGCATTGTAAGGGTTCAGAAATTTGATCTCCAGGTGCTCCAGATAACGACCAAACTTCTTGACGTACCAAAGCGCTGACTCGAACTCGGACGCGTGTACCCTGGAGGGCCTCCCACTGAACGTGATGGTCCTGTATCGCCAGAGGTCAGCCGAGAACATCATCTGGTTCCACTTTCTGCAGACCAGGGCGGCTCTGGACCGGTCCCTGTCTCCCAGCCACCAGAAAACACGACGCAGGCACACATCGGGCAGACTGGCCCAGCAGCTCTGGTCTTGGGGCTGGATCGGTTGGCTGTCTTCGTCCATCGAGGAACCGGATGTCCAGAGCAGCTGTGTGGTAGGCAGGGCTTCCAAAAATGAAGAAAAGCAACCCCTCGTTTTCTGTGGGGAATAGAAAGGAAGAACCATTATTTACCAAACGGAAATTAGACCCAGCCGAGTGAACTCGACACTCCGCGTGGGTAGCAGGCCCTGGGCCGGCGCAGGCGGGGACAGTCATGGATCTGCCTTGCAGGGGAACACCTGCAAAGACTCGGTCCTTGGGGGCCTCCTGGGGTCGCACACAGGACTCAGTTACAGCACAGCGGGAGAAGCGAGAAGGCTCGGGCATGATTGCAGTGCAGGGGGCACAAACGGGGGCTGGCTAATTCTGTCTGGGGAAGGAGGAAGTAGACGGGGTTGCTCAGAAGGGGTGGCACCCGAGTGGGGCTTTGCAGGGTGAGTAGGAGCTGCGAGGCCGACCAGCTTGGCCTGGTGGTGGTAGAGGAGGAACCGAGGCACTGGGCCAGGCAAGGTCAACCTGTCCGGAAGCGATGCGGTCAGTCTTGAGGTACAGAAAGGGCCCTCCAGGGAGGAGGAAGAAGGATGGCCCAGAGCAGAGTTCAGGCTCCGAGCCTGGGGCTAGGGCAGCGAGACTGCAGGAATGGGTGGGTTTGTGGGTTTTTCGCAGGACACGATTTGGAAACTGGATAACGAGGCGGGGAGCACTGGAAGGTCTTTGAGCTGGCCGCTGGATTGCACGTGGTCCCCCTACCAGGCTAGGGAGGCCGGGGCACAGCCAGGCCAACAGCCGCCTGATGCGCCGAGCCCTTGGACTTTCTATAGCCATCTGCCGAAGTCTTCGTGACCTTCTGCTTTCAGTGTTTCCCCGGCCTGAAAACTCTCCTTCTTCCCTTTACCACTTCCAAAGCCCCCCGTCTTCAAGGTGCAAGCCCTACCACTCCATAACGCTTTCAGTGGCTATGTTACCAAGTGGCCCACGATTACCGTAGTGCATAAAAACGCAGGGCTGGAGGACCTCTGAGAATTATTTCTTTACAGACGGGAACTGAGGCCCAGAGAGGTGAAGGGGCTTGTCTATGGTCACACAGCAGGTTGGTGACAGGTCTTGGGCTGAGGGACACGTTAAGCATAGTTCTCAGTTCAGGACGGACATTTGTGCCAGAGCACTCTTTGGTTTTACTCCTTTGATGTCCTCGTCCGCGCTGGTGTCCTCGTCCACACAGCTGTCCTCATCCACACTGCTGTCCTCGTCCACACTGCTGTCCTCGTCCGCACTGGTGTCCTCGTCCGCATCGGTGTCCTCGTCCACACTGCTGTCCTCGTCCGCACAGCTGTCCTCGTCCACACTGCTGTCCTCGTCCACACAGCTGTCCTCGTCCGCACTGGTGTCCTTGTCCTCACTGCTGTCCTCGTCCTCACTGCTGTCCTCGTCCGCATCGGTGTCCTCGTCCTCACTGGTGTCCTCGTCCGCACTGCTGTCCTCGTCCGCACAGCTGTCCTCGTCCGCACTGCTGTCCTCGTCCGCACAGCTGTCCTCGTCCTCACTGGTGTCCTCGTCCTCACTGCTGTCCTCGTCCGCACTGCTGTCCTCGTCCGCACTGCTGTCCTCGTCACACGCACCGACCTGTTCTGACGTGTCTGATGTGGGTCTGTGCCTGTGCTTGCCAAATGTGTGCTTGATGCTGGTGAGCATCGTCATGTTGCCCTCCATGCCTGCCTCTCTCCTGGCCCCTCTCCCTGTGACAGACCCCCAGACGCCCCCAGCTCCCACAGCACCACAGCGGCCACGAGTGCCCCCAAGCTCCTGTGTGGTGGGTGGTCCTTCGGGGTCTTCGCTGGTGCCTTGCCCTCATCATCCCACACTTCCCCTCCACGCCTCCAGGGGCCTCTCCCATCTCCAGATCCAGACAGACTTCCCCGTGGGCTGTGGCGGCAGCCTGCCCCCATCCAGGTCACGGCGTCCACGGGGGTCCCAGAGCCTCTGCCCGCCCTGCCACCTTCGCCTTCCCCTCGCGCCCACGTCCGTCCCTCAGGGTAATCTTCGTCCCAGCCTGTGTCACCCCTGAGACACTCTTCTTCTGAGCGGCCCTTTCATACGTAACAAAGGAAGAGGTAGGGTTGTTGCTTCATCCACAGAAGCTGCCGGCGGCCAGGGGCCCCTCAGCGCTTAGCACGAAGAGCCAAACCAGTTCCCAAGCTCAGCAGAAGCCTTTGCCCGGCAGTCACTGGTCAGAGGAATCATGGGACACGCTAAGCCACGGGGGGGTGTCCGAAGAACATATTTGGTAGGCTGGGAAAGCAGTGGCAAGCGGCCCACAAGTCCCTGTCCTTCCTGGCAACGTCTCCCCTCCCCACCTAAACCTGCTGGCCGGCCAGAGGCCCGGGAGCTTAGCGGGCTGGACCCCGGCTGTCAGTTGCTATGGATGACCTTAGGCAAGTTAATTTTCCTTGTGCCTCAGACCCCACATCGCAAACCAGGGATGAAAATGGCGCCCCTCTCTGTTGGCAGGGTTAAATGAGCCCCATACGTGGAAGGTGCCAGAACAGCGCCTGTACCAGGGTTCACAGCCCGGAGTCAGTTGATGCCAAGGCATTCTGCAGGATCCCTGTATGGGAGGGGTGGGCACACCCGGTTTACAAATGGGGAAACGGGAAGCTGAGGAAGGCTCCCAGCAAACGCCCTACTAAGTGCGGAAGTGGGATTCAAACCCACCCAAGGGCGCTCAGGCCCAGTGCTGTCCACCTGCCCCCGAGCTGCCAACCCGGGAAGGAAAGCTAAGCAAGTCCCACCACCCTCGGCCCGGAGGTGCCCGGGGACGCTTGCTTCCAGGAGGCGGCGGAGGGGCCCGTTACCCGCTCGCCGCGCCCCGCTCGCCGCGCCCCGTTTGGGCTGCGGGGACCCCGAGCCGCC